TGATGGTGATGGTAATGATGGTGATGATGGTGGTGGTGGTGGTGATGATGATGGTGATGATGGTGGTGATGGTAATGGTGGTGATGATGATGATGGTGATGGTAATGATGGTGATGATGATGATGATGGTGGTGGTGGTGGTGATGATGATGATGGTGATGATGGTGGTGGTGATGATGATGATGGTGATGGTGATGATGATGATGATGGTGATGATGGTAGTGGTTATGATGTCCGTCCTCCACCCACTCCCCCATCCCCCTTGCAGGAGCCCTGTGTTTTCTTTCTCTGCAGTTGGGCCATCCAGATGTCCATGTGTGTTGCAGAAATCATAGTTGGGTATCTGAGCTCCAGGATACAATTTCATTACAAGCCGCTAGCATCAAGATAACTCCAGTTTCTTGGCCCACCCTCCCGGAGGTGGGAGTGGGGAGTCGGCTGGCAATTGGTGTCTCATGTTAGAGACGTGTGTATGCTTCCTCCCCTGACCAGTTGCATGTTAAACACGCTTGCTGTTGCCCCAGTGGAGTGGAAACGAGCCTTGCCCTGGGCATGGTTTTTCCATGGTTTTCCTTCCTCCCTTTCTTGAGGGCTCTCACACTCGGGGGGATCTGCAGATAAACGTCCTCAGACACATTTATCCGCATTAGAGGAAGCGTGAATTTTTAGATGCCATTACTGTGGAAGGGGATTACCGAGAATAAGACTTGAGTATGCTGGAGAACAGGATATTCCGCAGGAGGCTTAAGCCCCTCCGTTGTGGGGCAGACTCTGTAATTACAGGGGAAATCTGCTGGAGTTGTCCCCATTAAAGCAGAAATACAGAACCGGGTGCGTTGCCTGGAGGCCCGAGCGCAGGCCTTGAAAGCCTGCATTTTAGGGCCCGTCACTCATATCCTGAGCAAGGCAAAGCTGGGGAAGCAATGAAGTATTTTCTCATTAAGTGCAATGGTTTATTCCTTCTCTCGGTCGTTATCCTTTGGAACAAGAAACCTGTATTTTTGGCTTTGGGGAACCTCTTCTCTGTTGTGGCTTTGATGGTTTCTTTATGAACCAGGTTGTCTGGGGAAAAAGTTTCCTACCAGAGCAGGATGTGAAGTCGGTTCCAGCTGGAACCGCTCCCCGCCGCCATTCTCCAAGTGTCTGGGGGAGACTGTTGTTTTAACTGGCAAACCCAGAAGGAGGGGCTGCTCCCAGACCGCTGGAGAGTGAGCAAGGTTCTGTAACCTGACGGGAAAGGATGTGGACATGAGCTTCCAGAGGGCAATGTGGCGGGGCTTTCTTAATGGTGTCAAACCAAGCACAGTTCGAGGAGGGGGTCCCCGTCAGGATGCACGGTTTGGGAGGGAGCCAGGGTCCTCAGTTCCCTTCTAAGCCAGATTCCAAGAAGGTACTACCTTCTGTGACAGGGCTTCCTAACCTGGGCTCCACAGACCCCCCCCAAGAAGGCTCCAGATACAGATTAATCTCGGGGTACCAGGGAGCTTGGGGGAACACCTTCTGTGTTCACTGACCTCTAACAGAAAGTTAGCGTTTCCTTCGATTATTTATAATCCTTCTTCTGGGAAAGGCTGTATCTCTCTCTCTCTCTCTCTCTCTCTCTCTCTCTCTCTCTCTCCTCTCTCTCTCACACACACACACACACACACACACACACACACACACACACACGCACACACCCTTAGACTACATAAAGGTTTTGCTGATCCCTGAATCCCTTTGTATTCACTTCATACATGTGTTAAATATGCTTAATATATGTGCTTAACATATGAATATATTGTCTCCTCTTCCTGATGGCAGGGATGGTTTAATTTCTGTCTTGGTAGCCTCCACAGTGCCTGGCACTTGGGAGATAATTGCTTGATTGATGGGCAAAGGCCACAAGAAACTGGGGGTGCTTAGCCTGGGGATGGAGGCAATTAGAGAAAGGAATAATATGCAGGTTGTCTTCAAGTAGTGGTTGGAAAGGCTGTGTTGTGTCAGAAATGAGGAGACCTATTCCCCTGGTCCCACAGAATGGAACACGGAGCATCAGGGGAAGTTCTAAAGGGTGTGTTCCTAGGAGGCTGCAATGCCCATCAGGTGATGGGCTGCCTGGAAGGGGCCACACCGCGGCTTCCAGCAGAAGCTGGTGGCCCACTTCCTGGGTGTGCGTGGAAGGGGATTCTGGTTGTGGTGTACGAGCTGAGCCGAGATGTCTCTGGGGCCTCTTCCAGGCCTCCCGGGGCTGAGGTTCTTGTGCTAAAGGGAGAAACTGGACCTCAAAAGCTCCTTAGTTTTCCTCAGTGTCATATTCTCTATTTTTTTCTGTAGGGAGTGGTACCAGTCAGCAGGAACAGTGGAATGCCTAATGTCACCTTTAAATATGACAGTAAGTAACCAGCTTGCCTTCTAAAAAATAAAATAACATGAAACCCTGCAATGAAGTTGTTTGATCATTTTTCAGTCGTGTCTGGCTCTTCACAACCCCGTTTGAGGTTTTCTTGGCAGAGATACTGGAGTGATTTGCCATTTCCTGTGCCAGCTCATTTTACAGATGAGGAAACTGAGGCAAACAGGATGAAGTGACTTACGCAGGGTCACCCAACTAGTTGTCTGAGGCAGGATTTGAACTCAGGCCCAGCGCCCTAACTACTTTAGCGCCACAGTGCTTCTCTTTCTGGCCGTAGACATTAATCAACAGTGATTCTATCAGGTGCTTTGAAGATGACATTGTTAGCCAAGGGTAAAAAAAAAAGAGTAAAAAAGATTGTTGAGCTTTTTAGAGGTTGCATCTGAGCTTCAGGATTCCATGGTGCACTTTACCAGTCAACTAGAGTATGGAAGCTTAGCTAAATCCCTGTGTCTCCGTTTCTCCTTGTAGATGATTTTTTTTAACATTGTCAGTGAGAGTTGAAGAAGCTTGACTGGACCTACGAAATAGGCAGTGAGATAATAATAACCCATCACTCGCCGACAGGCCCCAAGAATGTTGCTTTCAAGGCATAGTGAAAAGATTGAGTCTCGAAGTGGGAGGACCTGGGTTTCAATGATGGCTTGGCTTTGCCACGTGCTGCTGGGTGGTCTTGGACAAGTCACATACCTTTCCAGGCCTCACTTTCTTTATTGTGTCATCCAATCCTGAGGCATATGAGCAGAGCAAATCTAACTTGTGGCTGGAAGCTTTTCTCGGGTCTCCCTAGTTCTGTACCAGGAGATGGTCTGAGTGTCTGGTCCAGATTTTAGCCACGTGGGTGAAGTCTTACTAGCTATGTGATCCTGGACAAGCCACTGAACATCTCGGCCTCAGTTTCTTCATCTTTAAAATGGGGATAATATCACCTACCTCAGGATTATTGTGAGGATCAATTGAATAATAAATGTGAAGTACTTTGCAAACCCTAAAGGGATAATTAAATGTTACCTATTACTGTTATTAGTTAGTAGTTCCCCAGAATATTCCCTTTAGCAAACAGGTCATGGAGTCATACCTTCTTTTTGGTTTTTTCTTTTTGGTGAGGCAATCAGGGTTAAGTGACTTGCCCAGGGTCACACAGCTAGTAAGTGTCAAGTGTCTGAGGCCAGATTTGAACTCAGGTTCTACCTGACTCCAAGGCCGGGGCTCTATCCATTGCACCACGTACCAGCCCCAGGAGTCATACCTTCTTAAGACTTGCTAGCTAGCCCCCTGGCTTGCCACGTTCACTTATTTGACTCAGTCCCCAAATTTCTTCCTGAAAAGTTCATGAAATCCAGCTGTTTTTGTCTGCTCTGTGATATGGAAAACTAGGGTGTGGGGTGGGGATCAGTGTGAATAATTGCTACTCGAGTAAAGGATTAGTCATAAAAACGTAACACTCCACACCAAGAAACCCAGACTGAGCACATGAGAGCCTCTCAGCCCTGGCACTCTTAGCAGCTGCCCCGCCCAGTGCTGCCCACCCCCTCCTCTAGGGATGGTAATGTAAACCCCAAGGGGTCAATAACACTAAAGCTCCCATATACGATTTCCCTCCGTGTTATCCCCGTGACGTCATAGCTGGGCATTGGAAACACATGTTTTTAAGTCTGGCAGAGTTGCCCACCTCCAGAGATGCCCCTTCCCTAGCCATGGTTCTGTAGGATTTCAGTAAAACGAATCTGGGGGATTTTTGAGAATTTTAATTGTTCTCAGTAGTGTACTCGAGAACCACAATAATGTAAATGAAAATAGTAGCAAGAGAAAGTTGAACTCTGAGTAACTGTAAAGCCTGGTCTCAGGACTGGAGGAATGGTCATAAAACACCGTTCCTTCCTCTCTGTGAAGAGAAGGGGGACCCCAGGTAGAGAGGGCTGAATACACTTCCAGATAACAGTCATCGTGTCCGTTGCTTCTGCCTAACTTTTTCATTGTTGTTTTCCCAGGGGGAGGGTTCACATTCACGCGTAAGCAGTGGTCTCTCCAAATAACACTAAAAACAAAAGGCACCGATAAGATGCCATTTAAAAAAATTAATTGTTCTCATTCTATACTTTATTTTAGACTGTACAACTTACTTGAATCCAGTGGGAAAACATGTGATTGCTGATGTGCAGAATATCACCATCAGCCAGTATGCCTGCTATGACCAGGTGGCCATCACCGTGCTTTGGACAGCGGGTGCCCTGGGTAAGTGGAGAAAACATTGGTCGCACGTTTTGCCCGTATGACTTTGGTAGATGACATCCAGGCAACGATCAGTAGGGAGATGATGATTGATAAGCCGAGTTGTGTCCATGAAACTGGCTGTTTTCCAGACCTCCCCTGGCATTAGAACCTTGTTTCTGGATCCTTTTGAGAGAACCGTAGAAGGAAGTCTTTCTCTGTGAGTAAAGGCCAGTTAGCTGAGATCCCGAGTCTTATTAGGAAAAAGAATGCTTGCATTTCGTTGTGAGTTGGCTCATCTCAGTTGTGGTCAGTAAAATAAGATGCGGGTGAATTGGAAGAAAGAACTCTTGTTGAATAAGCAGTGGGGAGGAAGGGGCACACTTTTTTTTGAAACGTTGTTTTATGAACATCTGTCGATTTTACCAATATTGCTCAGAAAGGGTTATGGCGGGTGATTGATGCGTGTACAGCCCTCTATGGTCTCTTAAGAGCAATAAAGGAAAATTACATGGAGCTTTTAGAAATATTTACAGAGGGCTTGGTGGAGAATGCCTTGGTGGCAACTTGGCTTGAAATTAGGCTCTTAACTATGGAGTTGAGCTCAATTTTGTATGAAAGGTACATGGTTTGGTATTACCAATAACCTTGCCTCTTATTATTGATATAGTTCCCAGGCATGTTATTTAATTAGGATCCTTCCTTTGCAGAATCTCAGAGACCTTTGAGGCCACTTAATCTAATTTACCTTAGGGAAAATCCCCTCTACAGAATTCCCAACAAGTGGTCAATCCAACCTTACTAGAAAACTGCTAATGATTGGGAATCCCGTTCCACTCCAGGATAGTTAATTACCAAAGGCTTGAAAGTCTCTCTCTTTAAATACAGTCAGAAAATGTAGTTTTCTTCTAAAGAATAAAAGCTTAAATTTCTCTAGCACTCAAAGGTTGGCAAATTGCTTTCTACTCAACAACCCTGTGAGGTAGATAGTGCTCGTGATATTATCTCCATTTTACAGATGAGGAAACCGAGGCTGCAAGGCATAGAATGACCAGCCATGACCACAGAGCTAGTTAATATCTGGCTTGGGATACAAAGTCCTATCTCCTGGCTCCAAGCCCAGTGCTTTATCCACTCTGCAGTGGGATATAGCCAGGACGCTCCTGCTAATGGTGCTGCTAGACAGAAAGCCATTTATATTTACTTCTTATTAATTTTTTCCCCATATAACCTTAGGATACATGCAGACACCTACATATAAACACAGATTTCCTTACAGAGTTCTAGAATAGAGGGTCTCCAGCTTGGCAGCCTATGGACCCCTTCTCAAAATGTTTTAAAATGGCAACTGGGTGACTCAGTGGATAGAGCAGTGGGCCTGGAATCAAGAAGACCTGAGTTCAAACCCTGCCTCAGACACTTAACTGGCTCTGGGACCTTGGGCAAGATACGGAATCTCTGTCTGCCTCAGTTTCATTGTCTGTAAAATGGGGATAATAACAGCACCTACTGACTCCAGGTTAAGAACTCTAGGCTTAGAGGCTTAAAAGGGATGGATATTGTGATAGTTCAGATCCCTGCTCAGGCACTTACTAGCTTTGTGACCCTGGGACCTCCTCAGCCTCAGTTTCCTTGTTGGTAAAATAGGGAGTTGGACCCTAGCCTCTAAGGTCCCTTCTGTCTCTAAATCTGTGATCCTGTGAGTAACCCCCACAAAGGAAGGATGGAGATGCGACGACCCCTCCCCTCACTGGCTACGAGGACTAAGCATTATGGCCATTGGGGTTGGCATAGCCCAGTGAGAAGAAGAGTTAGGGATCTGGCTTGAAATCCCAGTTCTGTTCGCTCCTACCTGCGTGACCTCAGACAAGTTAGATTATCTCTCTGGGCCTCAGTATCCTCATGTGTAAAATGAGCACCTGAACTAAATGACCTCCAGGGACCATCTGTCTCTGAGTTCCTTTGATCCGGCGGCATAGGATGGGAGAGCTTGACAGGACATGATAGAGGAAGAAAAGGGCCTTTCCTATCACATTCCCACCCCGGTTAATTGCATGCTGTGCAGTTACTTTAGCGGTAAGAAAAGCCCTATGCCTGCCTCTAGAGGCGTGCACGCAGGTTCAGCTGGTTTCTTTATCCTGGGAGTGTGTGCGAATGTGAACCTCTTGCTTCTCTTCTTACGCTTTGAGGAGCCGTGATTATATCCACGTAGGCATTCTTTCCACTCAGTGGAAATCTTGAGGGGGCATGTGGAGTTACTGTGCCACCCCTCCCCCAAGGAAATCCATTACCCAGTGATGGGATATGGGGATGGGTCTCTCTGAGCGTGGCCAGGATGGTCCTTGGGCTTCAGACACAACAAAATTTCTGGGGGCTAGATAGATGCCAATGGATGGAGCCCGCTACTGGGTCTGCCCTAGAAGCCTCTCCACTTTACTCTCTGCTGTCATAGTGTTGGAGGACTCAGGACCCCCACTCCCTCCGGAAGCTAATCAGGTGAATATTCAGAGTAGATTGAAAAGAGTAGGGGGGGCAGCTAGGTGGGGCAGTGGTTAGAGTAGGAGGACCTGAGTTCAAATTTAGACTCAGACACATGATACTTATTAGCTGTGTGACCCTAGGCAAGTCACTTAACCCCGATTGCCTCAGCAGAAAGGAAGAAAGAGAAAAGCATATCGGACTGTTTCTTCAGGAATTTCAGATCAGACAGCAGAGCTTGTTTGCCTGGGATCAGGTGTCCCCAGGACACAAAGCCTGGTGTGTTTGTTCACCTTGGTGGGGATCTGAGCTTAATCCTTGGGGAAGCATGTAGTGAGGCGTGCCACGGGAGCTCAGGTGACAGTGACCCCTCTTTCCTGGCCTCTGTAGGTTGGCATCTTACACTTGGGGCCCTCTGAGTGGTCTGTTAAGAACATTTACCAGCTGAATTCTGAATGTCTTTTTCATGAAGAATTACAGAAAAAAACCATCGTGTAAAAATCACATAGGCAGCTAGATAACATGCCGGATAGAGCACTAGACCTGGAGTCAGTCAGGAAGACCTGAGTTCAAATCTGACCTCAGTCACTTACTAGCTGTGTGACTCTGAACAAATCACTTAACCCCCCCGTGCTTCTGTTTCCTCATCTGTAAAGTGGAAATAATATCACCTACCTCAGGACTGTTGTCAGGGTCAAACGAGATAATATATGCAAGTGCTTTGTAGACCTTCAAATGCTGTATGAATGCTCGCTATTCTTATTATCCCAAGTCACTTGATCTTGGGTTCTAGAAACCTCTAATCACTAGATCACAGATTAATAAAGGTCTGGTGAACTGTCAGCCAAATCAAGCTGAATCCTGCTACCCAAATACTGTTTTTCTAAAGTAATATTCTTAGTAGAGGAACGGAACCTAAGGCAAGCATTTCAGTATAAAAAGTGACAATGGGGTGGGGGTGATCCAGAAGGGAAGAGGAGCCTGCTTTTGGGGGGGAGAGAAGGGAAAGGCGTGTGCAGCCTTCACACCAATTTCCATTTCCTCATTATGGGTGGCCTGGATTTGAATCTGCTCCTTATATCCACCTGACCTTGGGCAAGTCACTGTCTCTGTGCATCTCAGTTACCCCTCTGTACATTGGGCTGGGACGTGGACTTGTGGTATGTCAGATTTCTTCAATATTGAATATTGAAATCATATTCAGAACATTCTGCCTAGAAGCCCAGCCCTTTGTCTCCTTTACCTTTCCCCCAGCCCTGTGCCCCTCACCCCCCATCCCATCTCTCCTTCCTTCCTCTATTCTACTTCGTCAGCTAAAGTAACAACTCCTTTAACTCTGATGTGTGAGGGGTGAGAGATGCTTGGGACGGGGCAGTGGCCGCGTGCAATCGTGGAGCAGGACACGTGCTCAGAAGTAACCGGTTTTGCCTTTAATGGGAGCCTTTGGTTTTCCCGCAGGCATCGAATTCCTAAAAGGATTTCGGGTCATCCTGGAGGAACTGAAGTCAGAGGGGCGACGGTGCCAGCAGATGCTCCTGAAGGACCCCAAGCAGCTCAATAGTAGTTTTAAAAGAACCGTAAGTTGCATGTCAGTGACAGTGTGGCCTTGTCAAGAGAAAGGACGGGCCTATGGAGTCCCACCAGGCTATCCAGAAAGAAGCAATTAAGACAGCCGAGTGAGCTGCCTCTGTCCTCCTGGGCACACGCCTCAGCACCCCTTCTTTGCCAGTGATCACAGAGCTCTAACGAGGGTGAGGCAGCTGAGGCTTTGCACCGAGGTGCTAAATTTGGAGGAGGCTCACAGCGTTCTGAGGCCCTCGGTGGAGCAAAAACTTTAGAGATTAGCACCTAGGTAGCAAGAATAATCATTAAAATAGGAAGCTACCTGATGCTGGGCAAGAGTGAGGATCCTCCCCATTGCCCAAGAAGTGGCCTTGCTGTGATGCCTTGGCATCTTTTTCTTTGCCGCTTCTTCAAGTCAACACAAATCGTATTTATCCTGGGTACAAAATTCTTAATGTTCTTATTGCAAAGCATAAGGGTGTTTCCAGTATGGTTTGGGGAGAAAGAAAGGCTGTGTATGTGATCATTTGAACTATCGTGTTAATAATTGATGCATCTTACTGCCCCCAAACTAATAGCAGTCTTGGCGCCTGACTCGATTTGTTAAGAGGTGTTTAGGATAAAGACCAGAAGTTGGTCTGGACCTCTCCGGGATGGGGGGTGGGGGCCACAGATGGCCCATCTCCATCATCTGTGAGAAGCTCCCCGTGATGGGTCCCAGCCAACACTGGCTGCGTGACTCACTGAATTAGCTCCCCCAGCCTGCTTTCTCTCCTTTCTTCCAGGGCATGGAATCTCAGCCTTTTCTGAATATGAAATTTGAAACTGACTACTTTGTCAAGATCGTCCCCTTTCCTTCCATTAAAAATGAAAGTAATTACCACCCCTTCTTCTTCCGGACTCGACGTAAGTACGGCCTGCCCCCAGTGTCCACGGAGGGTCCTTTTGGGGGTGGTAGCCAGCAACACGCCCCCCACCGCCTCATGAAGCACTCTGGAGAACAAGCCTGCACCCAGGACTGATCCCCAGAGTGAGGGTGGAGATGGGCTCTCTGTTCCAAGGCAAAGGGCTCATGGCAAAGAATAGAGGGCCAGGAGCCAGTGAGCTAACGTAGGAACCTCCCCACTGTTCAGTCCGAGGATGGGGTTCTTCCGTTCGGAATGTGGGGTTCAGCTGGACTGTTATTGGAGGGTGTGACAAAAGTGTGCATATGGATGGGTTAGGGGGTGTCCTGGACGGCTCTTAATAGATTCTTGTACTCATGGATCTGGAGAGCGGTTTCCTCATGGTATCTCCCTATACCACTTAAATTACCCATCCAAATCACCCCTCCACCTAAATGAATGAATGAATGAATGGAGAGGAGGGAGGCATCTGGTCTTGGGTTCACAAAGTCCGGCCTCTGACACGCACCCTCTGCAGACCACGGGCCTCGGCCAGTGCTCTTAGATTATAAGAGTCACTGATCTGCTCTGGAGAGTTTCCTCAAGTTTGGTTGGCATGCATTTATGCAGAGCCAGTGTTTGTCTGCAGTGGGCTAAGGGCTGAGGTTACAGAGGAAGGCAAAAAATAGCAAAAAAAAAAAACCCCCAAAAACCTTGGGCAGCTGGGTGGTGCAGTGGGTAGAGCTCTGGCCCTGGAGTCAGAAAAGCCTGATTTGAAATTTGGCCTCAGACACTTAGTAGCTGCGTGACCCTGGGGAAGGCTTACCCCCTCTGTGCATAGGCAATTCTAAGGCATGGAGGTGTTTGTATGAGGCAATGTTTGTAGGAGGTACTTTTTTTCTTCTGACGTAAAATTGTGTTGAGATTGTTGCTATTATAAGATGTAATAAATCACTAGTACTTGTACCTTTGGTTGTGTCCAGTCCTATGGGATTGTAAAATGCCTGTCACTAATTTTGTGGTACCTAATATTCACGTTATTACAAGTGGCAAATAAATATTGCTTCAGTTAAACCAAAAAAGGGTGGAGAATGCTAGATTTGGAGTCAGGAAGATCTGACTTTAAATTCCACCTTGGCTGTGTGATCCTGGGTAAGGCACTTTACCCTCAGCCTCAGTTTCCTCATCTGAAAAATGGGAAGAATAATAGTATCTACCTCATGAGGTTGCTGTGAAAATCAGGAGAGAGAATGCAGGTAAAGCCATGTGCAGGCTCAGCGCTCGATATAATGGTTTTGTCTGACTTTCTGTGGCCCCATTTGGGGTTTTCTTGGCGGAGATACCAGACTGGTTTGCCATTTCCTTCTCCGACTCATTCTACAGATGAGGAAACTGAGGCAAACAGGGTTAAGTGACTTAGCCAGGGTCACACAGCTCATAAGCGCCCAGCCCTCCATTTGCTATGGTGCCACCTTGCTGTGTTAGAGGCCCGCAGAGCTGAGGTGACCCGCCCTGGGGCACACAGATCTAATTAGAGGCGGGATTTGAACCCAGGCCTTTCTGGCTCCAAGCCCAACAATTTTATTCACCACTACATGCTTCCCTCTCCATATTATTTAATCTTATTATGCCAGTTATTTCATATGCCGTCCCCAAAAGATGATCAGATCTTTGTGGGGAGAAACGTCCTAATGTCTTTATATCTTTCACAAAACCTTGCACAGCAATACACTCAAATGTTTGTTGAATGAATATATGAAAGCAGTTTGTTTTCACCTGCACAGTGAGATGCTGGTAGCAGGTAAATGACTGATTGAATTTTTTTATTTTTCTTTTCACTTGATAGCGTGTGAATTGCTGCTCCAGCCGGACAACCTGGCCTGTAAACCTTGTAAGTAGAATCGCTAACGGCCCCTCGCCTGACCCGTGTGCAGGAATTCATCGGTTGGGGCCGGGTGGCTGCTGGGCGGGGCTCATTCTCCCTCCCCCCTCTCCGCAGTCTGGAAGCCCAGGAACCTCAACATCACCCAGCAGGGGCTGAATATGCAGGTGTCCTTCGACCACGCCCCCCATAACTTCGGGTTTCGCTTTTACTATCTTCACTACAAGCTCAAGCACCAAGGTCCCTTCAAACGAAAGACGTGCAGGCAGGTAAGCCCAATGAAGGACGTCCATCTGACTCAGGGAAGCATTTGTTGGGGGCAGCTAGGGGGCGCCATAGTGCCCAGAGCACCTGGTCTAGAATTGGGGAGACTCATCTTCTTGAGTTCAAATGTGGCCTCGGACGCTTACTAGCTGTGTGACCCTGGGCAAGTCACTTCCCCCTGTTTGCCCCAGTTTCCTCATCTGTAAAACTAGCTGGAGAAGGAAATGGTAAACCGCTCCAGGATCTCTGCCGAGAAAACCCCACAAGGGATCATGAAGAGTTAAACATTACCGAAACGACTAAACAACAACAAAAGCATTTATTAAACACCTACTAGGTGCTTTGGGGATGCAAAAATAAATGGTCCCTGCCTTCAAGAAGCTTACATTCTGGGGAGGAGGGCAGTGTTGTATCACATAAACAGATAGGCAAATACTCAGATATCTACAGAGGTACACAGAAGAATTTCAAGATGGGCGTAGCACTAAGAACTGGGAAGGCCTCCCATCGGTAGCTTTGGAGGAAGCCAGAGACTCTGAAAGCCTGTGTCTCCTGCCTGTTTTTCATCTTCCAAGCAGATGGACCTAAATTAAAGCCTCATAAAGTGATAAAACTCCAATATGGGAGGGCCCAATATGGGAGACCCAAAGGGCCCCCACCCCTGCCCTAATTTATTCTCAGTGGTCTTCCCTTGGCCTCAAGTGAGAATATTCCTTAGAATTGACTATTTCCAGACGTTGGAGCTGGACGTGGCCAGGTAGGACAACTCAGCCCAAATGACCATGAGGTGAAGACTTGTTTGGTTGTTCTTCCAAAGAGAAATCTGGAGGCTCCCCCAACGGTGTTTGCTATGGGCACAGGGCGGGACGGGCCTTACGGATCTGGAGGAATCTTAGATACTCTTTTTAAGAAGGTAAATTTTCTAAATACATATTTTTATTGTATTGCAGGAACAAAATACAGAGATAACCAGCTGCACTCTTCAGAATGTCTCTCCAGGGGATTATATAATTGAGGTAAAAATTGCTGAAACTGTTCATTGGAGTCCAGGCAGACTAATGGGTTTAATCTTCTAAAATAAATATTTCTTCTCTCTTTTGTTTTCCATCACCCACCTTTCCCACTGTCCTCTTGCCCTTCCCTGTACTGCCCCACACCTTCTAATATTGTAAATGAAAAAAGTAAAGCAGATCTAAGCAGCCTATGTAAAAGGCAACGTTCCCCAGCCATTCTCCTCCATGTCTGCCTAGAAGGATTAAAAGGCGTCCTCTCCTGTCTCTTCTCTAAGGCCAGATCTCATCACTTTTTTTGCAGTTATAAGTAAATGAAATGAACTGGATGAGGAAATGGCAAACCACTCCAGTAATCTTTCCAAAGAAAATCCAAAAAGGGGTCACAGAGAGTCTGACTCAATGGAAAATAACTAAGCAACAACAAAACTTTTGCAAGGGGGCTTAATTTTAATCAGAAATGTCAGGCATCATGGCCTGGTGTCAGAAGAGTCAGACTGGTTGAAGACCTGGGTTCAGGTTCTGGCTTTGCTCCTTATTCGCCATGTAACAGTAGGCCCTCCTCTGGGTCTCAGTTTTCTCATCTTTAAAATGAGGGGATCGTGGCCTCAATGACCTCTACAGTCCAACTCTATATTTTTTTCTTCTATATAGATTTTCCTAGTCTTAGAAATGTTAGATTTTGGCTGATACGCAGTTGTTCTGTGAGTCAGGGGTTTCTTGACTTGGTGAAGGCAATGTGGTTTTTTGAATTTGGACTTTCTTCCAGCCACAGAAAACTGTGGAAAGCATTTCCTACTTAATTTGTAGAAGGGTAATAGACCCAGGAGGGGGAAGGAAGTTCCCACATGGATGAGAACCATGTGTCCTCAAAGGCTTGCAGCCTTGTTCTGAGATAATACACCAAAGGTGGACCTTTTGTGGGCTTTTCTACTTTCTTCATCTGTCAAATGATGGGCTAATCAGGTGTCATGCTCTCGGTAAAACTCACAGAGTACAGCCCTCACCAGATTAAAATGTAATTGGGAAATGTTAAACAAAATAAACAGAAATACGCTAGGACATAGATAAGATTAATTTGTGGTTTTCTAAGTCAGTGTGTGGTAGCAGGAGCATCATTTCTATGTGAGTTTGCCCACACTAGGCTCCGAGCTCCCTTCTTTTTCCAGTGGTCTCTATCATTCTGTTCAGGACTTAAACTCAGTGTCTGAATGACCTCCCAACACTTATCAACCAACAGTCTTGGTGTTTCCATTTCAAAAGCCCAACGCCCACCTCTTCTTCCTTTACCTGCCCCCACGTAATGGACATTTTCACCCTCCTCATTTTCATCCTGGCTAAGATGACTGTTTATTTTCAGGCTCTCAATTCACTTGGGCACAGACTGGGAGGGAGAAGCTATGATTTTCAGAACTGGATAATGGAGTTTATTAAGATGAGGCTTCTCTCCCTTCTAGCTTGTGGATGACACAAATACCACCAGAAAAATGATGCATTATGCCTTCAAGCCAGGTAAGCAGTCTCTTCTCTCGGAGGAATCCTGCTTTGGGTCCCTAGAAGACAAAGCATCTTAGGTGTTCTGAGCCTGCCCCACCCCTTGGATCACCCTTGAGAAATATCCACCAAACCCCATTTGGTTTTTGGAAAGATTTTGATACTTACTACATGCATGACCTTGGGGAAGTCACATTCCATCTGTAAACACAGGGTTGTCTGCTGGGGCACGTGTCTGCCTTGGCTTCCCTTCTGGCTCTGGACTTCTAAGACAATCTCCCCAAAGTTACCTGTGGTCTTAACAGATCCCCCTGGGGAGCTGTTTTGGTCCTGTATCAAAGAATTTGAAGGAGCTCTGTAAATCCTTTTGAATAAGTTGAAAGTAGCGCGGCACAGTAGAAAGGGCGATGGGTTTGGAGTCAGGGACCTGGGGTCAGATCCTGGCTCTGCCCCTTGCTTGGCCACTTCATCTTCTCTGTGTCTTTGTTTGCAAACTGAGGGTATGGATTTGATGGCCTTTCTGGTCCTGTTCACCTCTAGCGCTTTGAGCCAATAGGTAAAAATGTTGCCAACTATTTTTCAAGGGAGTGGGGAGTCCTAATAATAACAACAACAATAGCGGTGGTGGGGCCTGATGTTCACAGATGCGCTTAAAGATTTGCAAAGTCCCTTATCTCATCGATTTTTATTAAAATCATTACATTATTGTCATTATTATCTCATTTGATGCCCATAAGATCCCCATCCGATCCCCATCCCTCTTCTGCAGATCAGAAACTGAGGCTGAAAAGTTAAATGTGTTTCCTAGGGTCATAGCCAGTGGCTGAACTCATGTCTTCTAACGCTGAGTCCACTCTGCCATCTGGTGGCCTCAAGTGGGATAGCGGAGTTCGTCTGATTGTGGGAGCTAGCTTAACCCAGCCATTTAGCACACTGAGTCTCGTCGTCTTCATCTACAAAATTAGAACGATGAGGATGAGGATGATAATGGTGATGGCATTGATGGTGATAATTATAGTGATATAATGATTGTGATCATAATGATGTTAATGATAGAATGATGACAATTACAGTGGTAATATAATGATGATTATAATGCTGGTGAAAACAATGTTGATTATAATGATGATAATTATAATGTCGATGATAATTGTGATGATGATTTTAATAATGACAGTTACTATAATGATGGTGATAATTACAGTAATGATGGTGATGATGATAATAACAATAACCACCACTTTCCCCACTGGTTTGTGAGGAGCTAAGTGCTCTGGGGGCCTGAAGGTCTTTAGAAAGTGGGTAGGCTTGATGGCGGTGGTGGTGCAGCCAAGGGCGGTCTCGCGCACATCTTCTCGGCAGCATGTCCGCTATCTGAGGGCTCTCTTCCCTTTTTGAACCCTAGTGCATTCTCCCTGGGCTGGGCCCATCCGGGCCATCGCCATCACGGTCCCATTGGTTGTCATCTCCGCCTTCGCAACTCTCTTCACCGTGATGTGTCGCAAGAAGCAGCAAGGTACGTCTTGGGTTGAGGCGCTGGGGGCGCTGGAGAGATCCCTGAGCTTGGTGGGCTGCCCTGGAGGTCAGCTGGCTGCTCGCTCGCCCTGGGAAGGCGCAGACGTCACTCAGCTTTGAGTTCCTTTTCAGAAGAGCAGGGACGGCCCTGTGGAGTAGATAGTAGGCCAGGCCTAGAGCCCAGATGACCTCAGCTTGAGTCCGGCCCCGACATACACTAGCTCTGTGACCGTGGGCAAGGCTCTTAGGCCGTCAATGCCACAGAGAGTCCTTTAAGACGTTCAGTTGCTGAGCTTTATTGGTGGAGAGAGTTTTCATACCTGAGATCCCAGGTCCAAACAAACTCAAACTGTGCACCATCCATCTCATGTGAGGAAAGTGCTGTGAAATTATAAGGCATGATGGAATATGAAGTGATCACCGTCATCAATTTAAAAAGTAGAATCCCAGTGTGTAGAGGTGGGGGGGCAGTGGACATGAAGTTGTGTATGTGCATTTGGGCAGACTTGCCTTTGTGGTTAGTTTGGTGGCTTATTGTTTTAAGAGAGTGTTCAGTAGGGGCCGGAGGGCTCAGTATCCCAGTAGAACACTGATGGTTTAAAAAAAAAAAAAAGCACCATGAACTTTTAAAAACGGGAAACACATTTGAAAATGAGAAGTCTGAGTGCCCCGCAGCCTAGTTTTGTGTCTAACACAGAGCTGGGTGTTCTACGTCCCAAGGACTAGAAGCACCTGGGGGATGTTTCCCTCTATTCCACCCCTCCCCACCCAGTGAGTTGCCAGTATCAGGCAACTATCCTTCTGCAACACCCTTGGCTCCCATTTCCTTCTCTCTACCCACTGGTAGTAACTTACATCAGACCTTAATTGCGTTTCCCCTAGGCTGTTATAATAGCCGCCCAGTCATCTCTTGGCTGCCTCCGACTCTTTAATCCACATTCATGTAGCTCCCAGAGTTACATTTCTAAGGTACAAGTCTGATCATGCCCCTCGGGAGAGTGCTCAAATGCCTTGAGTGGCCCACTATTGCCTCTAGGATAAAATACAGGCTGCCTAGCCTGACACTCAAGGCCTTCCATCGTCTGACTCTGGCTTATTTATTTAGCATGATTGCCCTTCCTGCATTGCACAAGACACATCAACCATCACTGAGTTTGGCACGTGTGTTGTCTCCACTTTCAGAAACTTCTTCAAAGCATAGCTCCAGTGTTATTTTCTTCCTGCAGCCCTCCCCTGGGAAGTGTTTTCTCCTGTTGCTAGTCTTTTTAGCACACCTTGTCTGGAAATTTCTTTGGCTTCTATTACTTTTAGCTAGGTGGCACAGAGTACCCAGCCTGGAGTCAGGAAGACCTGAGTTCAAATGCGGCCTCAGATACTTATGAGCTCTATGACCCTGGACAAGTCACTTACCCCTGTTGGCTTGTTTCTTCATCTGGGAAAATGAGCTGGAGAAAGAAAACCCCAAATGGGGTCACAAAAAGTCAGACACAACTGAAACAACTTGACAGCAACACAACTTTCTGCCTTTCTTTGTTTATTTGAATAGCTACGGTGCCTTCTCTCACCACCCGCAGGAAGAATTGAATTCAATAAATGTTTATTTAGCTTGTAATTAATAAGTAGCAGCATGGTCTAGGGGATGGAGAGCTGGTCTTTGAGAAAGGGCAACCTGGGTTCGAAGTCCCAGTTTTGGCACCTATTGGCTGGGTGACCACTGGGCAGGTCACTAGGAGAGCCCCAGGCAAAATATGCCGAGACTCTAAGCTGCAAAACTTATGTTGTAGTGTCTGCATTGGTCACGGGATTGCCTTCCCGGGAAACTCTATAGGCCAATGAAATCACAGGCTCGGACCAAAAAAAGGGCACGAAGGCACGGTCCTGTGGTGGGCCCCAGGATGCAAAAAAGAACTGGTCTCTGCTCTTCTTTAAAGAGGATGATAAAAATAAGAGCTAATATTTATATAAATACTTTAAGTTTGTGCCATTAAATTGTAAGCTCCTCGAGGGCAGGGACTGTCTTTTGCCACTTTTTGTATCCCCAGCACTTAGCACAGTGCCTGGCACATAGTAGGTGTTTAATAAATGTTTATTGATATTAAGGGAAAGAAGATTGGAGTTTTGATTTTGTTAGTATTAATTCTTACGTCAACCGTATGCTGTTCGTATCCCCATTTTACGAAAGAAGAAACTGAGGCAAACAGGTTAAGTGACTAGCTCAAGGTCACACAGCTAGTGTCTGAGGCCCCATTTGAACTCAGGTCTTCCTGATTCCAGCCCCAGCACTCTACCCACTATACCATCTAACTTCCTCTAGGCACAAAATCATGCTCTCTGATGAGGAAATACAAGATTATTTCAGGAGGGAGAGAATGCTGAAATGGAGAGGTGAGGAGATAGGGAGAGCATCAGAGTTGGCTTCCTAGAGGAGGTGACCCCTGTACTGAATTTTGAAGAAAGTTCCAAACTTTAAGAGGATGAGATGAGGGGGTGGAGAATGTAAGCTTCTGGAGGGCATGGACTGCTTCAGTTTTGCCTTTGTAACCCCAGTGGCTGGCATACAGTAGGTGCTTACTCAATGCCTTTTGCATTAAATGAAAGTGCAGTTGGATGGGGCAGCTGTGCAGTGGCGGTTGGCGTGATTAAAACGAGGTCCGGAGCTTCAGCTTCCTGTCAGCACAGACGCTGCTCATCCTGGCATGGGGGGAGTGGAGATTGAGCCAGTGTGGGAACCTTGGCCCCCATGTGACTGACTTCAGGGAAGAAAGGATTCCCACCTCGCACAAGTTCTCAGCCTGAAGGGGTTAGGGTAGAGAGTGGTGGGTGCCAGCGCCCTCTGGTGGTCAGTAGCTGTCTTTGCATTCTTTTCTGCTTTCAAGCCCAGCTGCCCTCTCCTCTACCTGCCAAATACACCAGCCCCTTAACCAGTGGGGATCATGTGAAGGCTTGTGGGGTGTGGGTGGAGGGATGCCTCTCACAGGGAGAAAAACCTGAGCTGTTTTCTCTTTTTTTAAAATACATTTCTATTGAGGTTTTCTTTCTTTCATCGCCATGATTTACCACCCTTCTTCTCCGTCCCGGAGACCTCCCATGTAACAAATAGTATTTTTAAAGATTAAAAAAAGAGGAAAAAAATGAGTATAACTGATCAATGCATGGAAAAAGTCTGAAAACACACGTATTATTCAACACGCACGGACAAGCTCTTGTGTTCTCAGTCCTTAGGGAAAGGAGAAGTGTTGCTGTTGGGTGCCAACTGTATCTTCTTTTTCAATTTAGAAAATATATATTCACATTTAGATGAGGAGAGCTCAGAGTCATCCACGTACGTGGCCACGGCCCCTGGGGAGAGGCTCCATCCTCGGCCCAAAGTGTTCATCTGCTACTCCAGCAAAGACTGCCAGAAACACATGACCGTCATCCAGTGCTTCGCCTACTTCCTTCAGGACTTCTGTGGCTGCGAGGTGAGCAATGCCACTGCCCCTGCCCAGCTGGGATCGGGGCGGGTGCAGCCTTCGCGGGAGGGACCTTCCTGAAATCACCAGTGCTGCGTACCCTTCTCTGAAAATAGCACCTTCTCGGGGAGGGCGGGAGATGTCTCATGCCAGGTGGGATCCAGAGTCAAACCAGGCAATGTCTGTGACGTACCTCGCGCTGTGTAAAAGTCAGTTGTTTCTTGTTGTTAGGATGATGGTGGTGGTTATTATCAATGAGAGGCAGCATGGATCAGTGAACAGAGAATTGGCTTCAGAGCCCCGTGAGACCTGGGTTCGATCCCACCTACGCAACGGCTGTGTGACTCTGGGCAAGTCACTCACTCTTTCCATGCGCAGGCAAACCCTGAGAGCCCAAGTTGTAGAGATGGCACCGATCCTGCCTCCTCCCCATGACAGACGCTCCTTCAGATACTCTAGCATGGCTCTCGCGTCCTCTTGAGTCTGCCCCTCTCTGTGTTAAACACTCTCATTTATCTAGAGCAGGGGCTCTTAGCCTGAGGCCTGTGAGCGTGGCTCTTTAAATATCTTGATGACTGACGTCTCGCTAGTTGTTTTCCTTTGTGGTGCCATCTGTCGTATCTCATGCATTGTATGACCATTATTCTAAGAAGGCATCCATTGGCTGTACCATACACCAAAGGGGCCGTGTCACGAAGAAGGGGAAAGATTCTTGGCTTGAAGTCGGTCCAGGCCCTTTTCACTGGACACTCTAAGTTGTCTGCTTCCCATCCTTAACTCTACCCTTCAAGACTGATTTTCCAGGAGCGTTGACTCGGGAAGATCTTGAAAGTCCTGGCCTGACATTGGTGTTTCCCTCTTAAAACTGTATGTAATAAGACTGCCCCCTTGTGTTCAGATAATTAATTACAAGGCTTGGCCATTTTCCTGTTTATTTTTGAGATCTTCTCCCCTCCTAGATTTGGTTTATGGAGCCCAGTCTGTGGCAGGGCTGAATTCCTTTTGGCCCCTTTCAGCAAACATTCCTTCCTCTTCCTCACCCCATCTGACCACCAAACACACACGGCCTCTTGACCTCCAGGCCTTGCATCATTAGCTCTCTGCATCCTGGGCAGCTGTTTCACAGATGTGTAGTGGGGGGTCACAGAGGGAGCCAGCCGGCGGTGGCCGGATCCCTGACCGGCTGTCTCTGCTCCTGGAGCAACGGCTCACAGCCCCCTGGATCTGGCAAGATTGTCATCACAGATTCACTTTTCCCCCTCCATTTTTGGGTTTTCATCTGACTTGTGTGAAAATAGCAAGAGAGAGAAATATACCCTAAGATAGCTCCGTGTTACTGAACATGTTGTGTCTTCTGCATGTAGAGGGAGCAGTGGGTGGAAGCTGTGCATTTGGGCTGTTAGTGGCCTATCTCTGGTCACAGTTTATTGTGGGAACAGAGACCGGGATCAGATCTTCTTTACCACCTCCTGCTGGAAAAGCAAACACAGGTGACTCCCGGTCATGCCTCTTTTTTCCTAAATACACACCATGAGGTACCACGACACAAGCATTTTCTGTATCCTGAAGGAATATGACAGTGTGGCATGGTGGCCTCAAGCCGTGAAGGCTTGGGTTCAAATCCTGCCTCTGTAACATCCTTGCTGTGTGACCCTGGACAAGTCTCTTGCTGTAAGTGCCCATCTGTAGTGAGAGGGGGACTTTCTTCATGAGGAGTTCCTAGAAGTCTAAGAAAAGTTGTCATAGTTAAATCAACATTTTGCATGTCAGTATGGGGACTCCCTCCATTGACTCAGATTGCAGCCCCTCTCTTGTCATTCCGAATGGTGTCTAGTTGAAAAAAAGCCATTACCCTGAGGCCAAGCTGAGGGTGAGGGTCTTCCACTGTAGCTCTGCCGAGGCTGGCCCTCAGACAACAGACAAACAGCATCCTAGATTTAGAGATGGGGGACTTCAGAGGGACGTCTACTCCAGCTTCTCATCTTTCATGTGTCAGAGAAATGACTTGACCAAGGCAGCATAGGAAGCCAGTGTCCGAGGCAGGACTCTAACTCCAAACACAGCCTTCTTCCCACCACGTGACACCACACTCAGAGCCTTTCCAGCTTGGCCCAGGCCTTTCCGAAGTTTGCATCGGGGGAGGGGGAGGGGAGGCAGCAACATTGTCTGGGAGTCTGGACATCGTGGAGGGGGTAGGGATCCCCTTGCCTGGAGGTCTTCGGCCAGGGGCTGGGTGACCCGCTGGCGGGGAGGGAGCCTTGCGCAGGTGTGAACTGGCCACGATTCAGACGGCCAGTGAAGTCCCTTCCAATTAAGTGATGTCAGCAAGTGACCCCGACCCCATCCATGTCTCTTCTTGTCTACTCCTGTTAGAATGTAAGCTCCTTGAGGGCAGGGCCTGTCTTCACTTTCTCTATTGATCATTCTAGTACTTGGCACAGTTCTTGGTGGATATTGAGCACTTAGGTTGGGTTTTTTGTTTTTTAATTAGCAGTCATTTATTTTCTCTCCCTCTTTTCCTCTCCAAAACAAACAAACAACAACCCAAAAAAAAAAAACCCCCACAAATAAGTATAGTCCAGCAAAACAAATGTTTTCACTGGCCATGTTGAAAAAAAATACGTACATACAGATATATATATATATATATATGTGTATATATATACACATACACATATTGATATCTAGATATCTATACCTATCTACATCTATCTCGATATCAAAGTAGATCCTGATATCGTTATAGGTATATTTCATCATACATCCTGTGCTGGACAGTTTTTATTTTTATTTTTTTCCACTGGATAGTTTTTTTTAACTCAAGTAGGTATTGATATCCAAGTTCAGGGTTGGCTTTCTTTGAAACATTCAGTAGTTTTCTGTCCAGGATCTAAAACTGTCCGGTCTGTGCCAACCTGGGACATGTCAGCCTGCCAGCAAGTATCTACTGTGTGCCAGGCACAGGACACAACAGTCTCAGATGGGTTTGTCCTCCTTCCATCCAGATTTCCTTCTCCCCCTTTCCCTTCCTCTTTCCCTCTTCTCCTTCCCCTTCCCTTCTCTCCTCTTTCCTTATCTCCTCTTTCCTTTCCTCTCCCCCTTCTTTCCTCTTCCCCTCCCTTTCTCCCCTTTTCCCTTTCCCTTCTCCCCTTTTTCCCCTCTTCCGTCTCCCCTTTCCCTTCTTCCTCTTGTGCTGTGTATTCCTGCCATTCAATCGAGGTTCATTTCTCATCAACCAAGGCTCCCTTGTCTCCTGTAGGTTGCCCTGGATCTGTGGGAAGACTTCAAGCCGTGCCGGGAGGGGCAGAAGGAGTGGGTGGTCCGGCAGATCCGGGAGTCCCACTTTGTCATAGTCGTGTGCTCCAAGGGGATGAAGTACTTTGTTGAGAAGAAGGGCTGTAAGCGCGGGGGAGGGAAGTGGGGCTCGGCTGACGGAGGCGAGCCCTTCCTGGTGGCCGTGGCCGCCATCGCCGAGAAGCTCCGCCAGGCCAAGCGGAGCTCGGCCGATCTGGGCAAATACATTGCCGTCTACTTCGATTACTCCTGCGAGGGCGACGTCCCCGGCGTGCTGGACCTGAGCACCAAGTACAAGCTTATGGATCACCTCCCCCAGCTCTGTTCTCACTTGCACTCCCGAGGCCTCAGCCCACAGGATCCGGACCTCTATCCCGTCACCCTCAGCAAGAGGAATTATTTCCGGAGCAAGTCTGGCCGGTCTCTGTACGTGGCGATCTGCAACATGCACCAGCTCATCGATCAGGAGCCCGACTGGTTTGAGAAGCAGTTCCTTCCTTTCCCTCCTCCCCCGCTCCATTACCAGGAGCCCATCGTGGAGAAATTTGACTCTGGCTTGGTGCTGAACGATGTCACCTGCAAGCCGGCGGCTGAAGGCGACTTCTGCCTGCAGGCGGAAGCCCCCATCCTTGGCGCTGGCGCTGCAGACCCCCATTCGGTCCTGCCCCATCTGAGCCTGGAAGAAGACGGGGACTGCCAGTACGCTCACGACGGCAGCTGCGTCCTGCGGCCCTTGCTGCACGCTGTGAAGGCGCTCGGTCCCCCCGACGTGCCGAGGGATTCCGGCATCTATGACTCTTCCGTGCCGTCGTCAGAGTTATCGCTGCCGCTGATGGAAGGGCTTTTGATGGACCAGATGGAAACCTCCTCCATCACGGGGAGCATGTCTTCTTCTTCCGGCCTAGGTAAGTGGCAGTTTGTCAAACGTCAAGGCAAAATAGGGAGTCAGCCTTGTGCAGGGGTTCCAGGGCCGGCCTCTGATTTGGAAGACCTTGGTTCCAGGTCTGCTGCTGATCCGGGCTGGTTGTGTGACCCTGGGCAAGTCACTCATCTCCCCCTGCCACGGTCAGTTCTGACCCTGTAAGTTACACAAGAGTTGTTGACCTGTTGTTGAAGGGAATTTCCACTTTGGGAGCTCCCCCACCCCCAGTGAAATCCTAAGTCTGGTTTTCCACTTTCCCAAACATGCATGGCAGAGCAGCTAGGTGGTGCAGTGGATAGAGCACCAACCCTGAAGTCAGGAGGACCTGAGTTCAAATCAGGCCTCAGACCAAACACTTGACGCTTCCTGGCTGTGTGACCTTGGGCAAGTCACTTAACCCCAACTGCCTTTAAAAAAAATGAAGGCCAAACATGCATAGCACTGTGTGAGACTTTGGGGGTACAGGAAGAAAAACAGAACAGCCCCAGCATCGCTGGAGCTTACGTTCTACTGGGAGGAAATGATATGTATGGAGGGAGATGAGCTAATACAAAATTAATTTCAAGTTTGTTGTTGTTGACTCTTTTCAGTTATGTCCGACTCTTTGTGAGCCCATTTGCGGTTTTCTTGGCAGAAATTCTAGAGTGGTTTGCTTTTTGCTTCTCCAGCTCGTTTTATAGATGAGGAAACTGAGACAAACAGGGTTAAGTGACTTGCCCAGGATCATACAACCAGTAAGGGTCTGAGGCTGAATTTGAACTCGGGCCCAGTGCTTTATCCGCTGCAGCACTGCCTCACTGCCCCAACGTCAGTAAGTGGAGAGCATTAACTATGGCAGTTTATGGCAGCAAGGGTCAGGAAAGGTTTTATATACCTGGGAGATGGTAACTGAGCTGTGCTTTGGAGCCAGAGGGAATGCATTCTTGTCAGAGCGTAGTCTGGGCAAAGGCAGGAAGGTGGGAAAATGGCTGTCGTGCAGAGGAAGCGGCAGGCTGGTTCAGGAAGAGGACTAATAGGAAATTGGACTGGAAAGCTAGATAGAAGACACATTGTGGAAGGCTTTGCAAACAGCAGAGTGATGAGGATGGATTTTTATCCTGAAGTGGTGTGGAGCCACCAGAGATTTCTGAACTGGGAACCTGGGTGTGGAGGAAGTCTGCATTTCCTTGTGGATAGTTAACGTCTGTCACAGGGTGCCTGGGAGGAACGAACTGCATCCTCCCGTGATGGAGTCTGTGACGGTGCTCGTAGGTGTGCCTGTGTGTGCGTGCGCGTGCATGCATGTGTGCAGCTGAGCATGACGCCACAAGGTTTCAGCATCCCCTCAAACTGTCCCTGAGTAAACTCGGAGCTGTTTCTTTCAGGATGGTATTCATGTTCCCTGCTTGCCCACTCAAGCCTCTTCCATAGTCTCTCTTGCTCCGTCATTGCAGCTCATTCCAGAGGTCAGAAATCAAGTGTACTGGACATTGTGGGGTTTGCTTGCTTTTAAAAAATTTATTTTAATTGGTCACGTACTTATCTGTGAACATCGTGACTCCCCGTTTAGGATGAGGCTCCTTGAGGTCAGAGACCTCGCTCCCTTTTTATCTTTATGTTCGCAGTACCTGGTGCTCAGTAAGGTCGCTAGATGGCGCAGTGCCTGGGGTCAGGAAGACCTGAGTTCAAATCCCACCTCAGACACTTATTAGCTGCATGATTCATGGCAAATCACTTAGTTTCTGTTTGCCTCAGTTTCCTTATCTGTAAATGGGCATTATAATAACACCTACCTCCCAGAGTTGTGAGGATCAAATGAAACAATAATTATGAAGTGTTTGGCACACAGTAGGTGTTACATGTTAGGTATTATTATTATTATTATTATTATTATCATATCAATGAAATTACAGGTTAATCCCTATCCATTGACACTTCTAAAGAGCTTTAAGGTTTGTAACACCCTTTCCTCATAGCAGCCCTCTGAGGCAGATGATACTACAGATATTATGATCCCCATTTTACAGATTTAAAAACTTGAGACTCTGGGAGGTTTAGGGTCTTACTCATGTTCACACAGCTAGTAAGAGCCAGAGATAAATTTGAGCCCAGGTCTAGAATATCAATTCCAGCATTCTTTAAATGGCATCAGTTCAACTTGGCAAGAATTTACTAAGTACTTACTCCTGTCAGTCACTGAGCTAGGAAATAGGGGTGCCAAACCAGAAACAAAAGAGCCATGACCCTCAGAGAACTTCCAATCTACGCAGTCAGTCATTAAACATTTGTCAAGCACATGCTATGTGCAGTCCGGATACAAATGATGCAAAAGACAGTTCCTGCCCTCAAGGAGCTTACAGTCTACTAGAAAGAAAAAACATGTGCCCCCGTAAAAAATATATACAAAGTAATCCGGAGGGGGTGGGGGAGGGCAATAAAAATTCAGCAAGCATGCATTAAGCACCTCCTGTATGCCAGATACTTTTCTGGCTGCTGGGAATACAGAGACAGAAGAGCAGTGACACGGTCACAGATCAGGAAAGGCCAAGTCATTTCCCCCCATCATTTTTTTACTTTCTTTTCTGCAGGTGAAGAGGAGCGCCCTGCCTTCCCTTCCAAGTGCATTGACTCTGGAGCATGTAAAACTGGACTCAGTGGGCACAGTTTCACCGATGAACTCCCGGTAGTTGGCCCGTTATAACCCGACGGAGGATTCTAATGCATTGCCACTTTAGCGACAGCGGACAGCTCCTGTGTGTCAGTCAGCCTCTTGCCCCTCGCTCCGCCACCTCACCTACTTGAAGGAAGGAAAACCCTGCGTTTGGATGTTTTGAGGGAGCTTTTGGCCAGTACCAGTTCTCCTGCCCCTCCCTCCACCCTTGGGTTTGGTAAAACCCATCATCTGCAGACTTTTAAGAGGGCTTCACAAGGGGAGCCAGTAAGCACAGAATGCCCATTGCCCCACGTTAACTTGACTGCTTTGGCCGTGTTCATGTATTCCTACCATTTTACGTTTATAACCCATCCTTGGTCTCTGACCAGGGCAGAAGGAAAGAGGTGTTAGAAAAGAAGCAGCATTCAGGGGGAGAGAGAAATAGGGCTCTGTCTTCTTTATGTCCTAGGTCCATTTGGTTGTACTTAGCACAAAAGGAGAGATGTGGATTTTCAGTTGAAATGATTGATGGAACAAAAACCTTTAATGAAATCATAGACATAAGTTTTTCTGTGTCTAGAATTGTCACCCACTCTCTGGGAAATGTTCATTTGATAAAAGTAACAGGCATCTTCACCTCCATAATCATAGATACACATATATAGACATGACTTGTAAAAATTAAGTTTGGACGGGCAATACAGTGTGGTAGAATTTGTTGTGAATTTGGAGTCTGAGGGCCTGGATTCACTGTCACTTACTACCTGTGTGACCTTTAGTAAGCCCCTTGCGCCCCCTCTTCTGGGCTTCAGTTTCCTTATATGTAAATGATTGGATGATCTGTGAAACATCTCTCCCGGCCATAAATCTATGATCTTCCAAGACTGAAAAGTGATTGGAAGTGTGTGTCTGGAACCAGCCCCTGTCTGGTACACGACCATTCTCTAGGCGCCCCTTCAGTCCATGGCCAATCATGATTCCACTAAGTCAAAGGTCACGTGGGCATAGATTTGTTTTTATTAAAAAGATGATCGTCTCAGAGTTGGAAAGGACCTCACAGGTCACCTAATCCAGCCCTTTGTCTGACCCAAGGGTTAGTTCTACTGTATTCTCAACAAGTCATCGTCTTTCTGGTCTCTGCCTGAAGACCACCAGGGAGGGGAGGCCGAGAGCTCCTGAGGCAGCCCACTCCATGTTAGGAGAGCTCTATCTTAAGCTTTTCTTGACCTCATGCCTAAATCCTCCCACTAATTTTGCCCTGGGTGGGGCCGAGCAGAACAGAGCTAATCCCTCTTCTGTGGGACAGCCCTTCACTTGCTCAAAGACAGCTCTCCTGTCCCCACTGAGTCTTCTTTTCTCCAGATTTAACCTCCTTGTTTCCTCTGACCTATCCTTATATGGCATGATCTCGGGTCTTTTCATCACTTGGGTTGCCCTCTTGTGACGCTGGGTCCATATCTTTCCTAGAATGGAAGCACAGTCCACCCACCGTGGGCTAAGCAGGGGAGAGGAGAGAGGAACATCCCTCATTCAGAACACTAGGTCTCCTTCATGCAGCCTAGGAGAGTGTTTACTTATCTTGCTCCGATGTCACACTGCTGACTTGTACCTCCCAATTCCCTGGATCTTTTTCACCAAAACCATTTATTGTCTAACCTTAGCTCATCAGCCTGTGCTTGGGAAGTTGATTTTTTCAGCGAGTGTCCAACTTTTTCCCTCTCAAGGTTTTAGCCTATCTGAGTCAGCCCATCCTGTCATCCAGTGTGATGGCTGTCCGTCTCAGCCTTGCATCATCTGTCAGTCTGCCAAGCGTGCTTTCTGTACCTTCCTCCAGTAAAAACCAGCAATCAGAAAAGGGACATGGCCATATTCCTGTGGCCCTCCACCATCTCCATTGACCCTGACCCCCATTACAACTCTCTAAGCCTTAGCCAGTAATTCAGCCCGGCCCAAATCCATCCAATTATGCCTCCATCCAGCCCACAACTTCCCATGTCATCCACAAGGAGAGCGTAACTCTCTTAATGGTCTGTTCATGCCTAAGCAAATTGTGTCTTTGGCATTCCTGTGGCATAAGGGTCTGGTTGCTGGTGTCAGAAGAGGAAATGAGACCAGTCTGGCATGACCAGCTCATGATGAAGCCGTGGTTCCCAAACCATCGCTTTAGGCTTATATTACAGAATGTTGCCAGGAAGGTCCCTCTCTCTCTTTTTAAGGCTTTTTAAAATTTTTTCAGTAAGTATTTTTTCCTTCCATCTTCTTAACCACCCCCACCCCCCATTGGAAGACAAAAAGAAAGGGAAAAAACCCTTATAATAAATACACACAGTCAAGTAAAACAGAGTCTTGCGTCGGCCATGTCCAAAAACCGTAGGTCTCATTCTGCACCGAGCCCATCACCTCTTTGTCAGGCCATGGGGAGCATCAGCCCTCCGGAACCATGGCTGGTCATTGTCTTGATGAGTTTTTAGGCCTCTTCAATTGTTTGTCCTTCTTTCGGTGCCTTACCATTTTATGTCTTTAGCGTTCAATGTTGGGCTTGGGTCTTCCTGATCCTTCGATGCACCCCTTCACCTCCATGCCAACGTAATTGTGCCAAAGTCAGCATTGGTCTGTTTTCAGGTTCTGAAACTGTTGACGCTCCAATGATACGAGTGGAAATTCTACAAAATACCCCAGAATGGCTTTAAATTATTGCCTTAGCTGTTGAATGGATGTGCTTGGACTGAGGCAATTATTTTTTTAAGGACAGAAAGTTAGTGATTATCTTTCTGCATCACCCTCTACATTGCTGTTGCTAAAGAAAGCAACACACTTAGATCTACTGACTTTTAAGAATCTTAAAACCAACAACCTTCCCAGAAAGATGCCTTTGGACCAGTTGTAACATTTTTCTCCCTGATGCCCTGCTGAAGGGAAGATTCCATTCACATCTTCTACCCAGCAAATTAGGGATTTGAACCCTGGAGGGGAGGAACTGCTTTGGAAGGGTCAGATAACAGGCAAATCCTTGCTCTTTGAAATAACAATGTAATTTCTGTTTTCCAGGCTAGAAGGTATTTTTAGTATTTTTCATTGAGTGACACGTGTGCTGCAGTATCTCAGGTGAAGCTCAGGTGTCCATTGATTCCACAGTGACACTTTTGTTCCCCAGCTTGCAGTCACTGATAACATTGTTGAATTATTGCCATCTTGAGAATCAGGACTATGTATTTCCATTCTTCACGACAGTGTTAGGTGGGGGAACCAGCAGAAAGAGAAAGAAAGAGCCGGAGTGATAAGAGAACCTTTTTTCCTCCCCTGGGACTGGGCACAAGCAAGAGAGAAGAGGAAGGGGAGACAGACTTTCCCGTCTCCCCGTGTGCAAGTAATACAGCTGTTTAAGTCATAAACTCTTGGGGAAAAGAGCTTGTATCCAAGTGCTCCCTAATGCAAATGACGGGCCCAGGGCTTTTTTGTCCAGGCAGCTGGTAGCCTCCAGTTACAGGAACGTGCTTATCTCTTCTCTGGCATCAGATATGTGGCCGTGTGCAGCTGCTTGGATATAGTCAAGTTGCCTGATGAAGAGCAACAGGTTTCCTCATAAAGTGATAGATCTGATTGAAAGAGAGACCTGCTCCCTTCACCCCCTCCCCTCCACTACGACCCTTGTGCTGGCCTTGAGAATCAGAGTTTTACTCCCAACATGGTAGCCACATAACCCATTTGTAAGGTGGGGTGTTTTTGTCTTGAAGTCCAGGAATACCCCACAAAATATGCAATGGCAAAGGGGGGGATTTCTATCAAATTTTTCCACAAAGCAAATGACTGCGGCTTGGTATATATTAGAAACTGCCATTTTTTGTATCCCCACCACTGGGCTATGTACTAATTGACTAAATTGGGGGGAAGTTTTGCATCAAAATGTTTCTGATAAAAGTCTGATATCCAAGATTTGTAGAGATTAGATATAAATATAGAAGACCAAGAATCATTCTCCCATAGGTAAGCAGCCAAAAGATAGGAAATCTACAAAAGAAATGCAAACAGTCAGCAACTACATTAAAAAAAAAATGCCTTGAATCACCAACAAGAGAAATGCAAATTAAAACACCTTCAGTGAGGATGGATTGGGTGAAGGTTTGACATGGCCTAGACACTTGAAAACCCAAATTTAATGTGATAAAATGATTCCTTTTATGGACAGTTTCTTAACTGTGACAAACAAACACAGAAGACCTAAAAACAGGGACCCACTTCTATAAAGGTTTGGGTCCAAGAGGATGTGGACTTAGCTTGATCAAAAGCTGCTGATAGAAGATAGCAACATAAGGAGATTCTGTGGGTTTCCAAGTCACCGGTACATGCTGGTCATTGGCACAGTATCTTGTAGAGTCAGTTAATGCACCCACGGAGACACTGTCTTATTGGGAATAGCAGATAATTTTAAAAGGTTCCCTTTGGTTTGGGATATATCCTGTTTTTTTATGTGTGTTTTATATGTAATATGGGTAATTCTGATGCCCTGGGAATTCGATTTGTTTTGGTTTGGTTCAGACCTGCGATTTTAATTTATGGGGGACCTCCTACATTGCCACATTGGCATCCTTTTTGTAGCTTAATAGTCTTAGAGAGTTTTCAAGTGACTTAGCCTCAGCAGCAGAACTCAAACCTGGATCCCTCTGACTCCGAGGCCAGTCCTTTAACCACTATGCCAATGTTGCTTTAATGTGTACGAAATAACAAAACCTCATTATGGAAGTCTAATTCAGGTAGAGCTGAAAAACAAAACCTAATAATGCAATTTCCCAGTCTTGCTCTTTTTGTTTTCATTCTTCATCTTCACCAACAGCTTCCTGGGGATGGGGCAGTGTCTTCTCTCCCAGGTTTAAAGCCAGGGCTGCCTTCAGATCAGCTTCCCCGGAAGGGGAAATCATAATGAGTAATGCAGTGAGAGGAGTCAGATTCTCGGTGAGCTCTAGACTTCATATTTATTCTTACTCTCCCCATCCTAAGAGAAAGTTAATACTGTTGAAAGGAGTTCACTAGTAGGTTAAATCAACATGAACACAAGATTGCTGGTGGGGATAAGGTCCTGACCTGAACTAGTCGTGTTCCCCAGAAGTTTATTACTTAGAAGGGAAATTTAGAAAAGGAAGTTATGAGGACAAGCTGGAGGCATTTAGGAAATGGCGGTCCTGTATGTAGAGAGAAGGCTGTTGATCTTAATTCATCTCTGTATGTAATATTTGTTGACCCTCCTGTGGAAGATTTATAGGAGGCTATGGGTGGATTCCAATTTCTGCCACTTGAAAGAGTATTGACTTCAGTAGGATTAGAGCTATAACTAAGGTAAGACAACCAGCACTTTGCCCTAGGGCGCCATATCTAGAGGGTGCTGATACATGTTTTTCAAAAGAGTTTAGCTTAGTAAGAAAAACTGGTAAAATAGAACATTGATGCTTAGTAGTAACTTGCTGTGGATATTTTCATTCCTATAAATCCCTTCTATCCAGGATTTGGAAATGATCCTGAATGAGTCATTGAAAAGTGTTCAAAGGCTTTCCTCAGACTCTTTTTCATTTAGTATCCAAGCAATCTGTTGGTAAAGAAGTTATTTCAGTAGTGTTATTTTATAGTATAGCCATTCATGTATAGAATTAGGCCCTTTGTAGACAGTAAGCTCCATGAGGGCAGGGATGGGACAGTGTTCCCCAGGC